GGCTTTTTTCAGGTGTGATCGGTGATAGTTATTTGGTTAATTTCCAGTTCGTTAAAGGTAAAGTTGAAGTTGATGGAGTAAGTTCAGCGTAATTCGTTATCAACTTCCCTTTTCTCAATTAACTTAAACAGTTCGGGCATGTATCGTATCTTTTTTGGGTTCAATAATTACTTTTACTTGCGAAGGAGAGAAAAGCCACCCCGCATAAGTAATTAAGCGGTCGAGGGTAAAGTAATCAATATGACAATATAAAATGTCCCTAGTTTCCCCCATAGTCAAGTGAATTTTTTGGGCGATTTCTTTATCGGATAAATTATTATCTTGCTGATAACCTAATATTTTCTCGCACAATTCATACTTGGCCTTTTCAAGAGTAGTAGGATTTTCCGGTAATCCCCAAGAAGCATCCGCATCGTCATATTCCGGTTTCTCTATTTCAGCCAAATATTCTTTAAAAGGTTTTTCTTGCTTGATTTTAGTCATAATTAATATTATTATTTATTTTTTTTATATTTCTTATTATCTGGTTTACTATAATACTTTTTTTTAACTTGAATTTTTCTTCCTGCTAAAATTTATTCCCGACCTAATTCTACTTTTAGTTCTCCCATTTCTGTCATCCATTCCTTTTTGTTTGGTGTGAATTAAGAGTGCTTTTACCCTTATTTTGGTTTTAATTATCACATAAGGGCATTAGGCAGGGAATACCGCAACATAACCTAAGGCAAAATACAGTGAGAACAATGAGAAACCAAAGAGGGATTAGAAAACTGAATTAGGGAATTGGAAGATAAATTGAAAAAATATAAAATTAGTATTATGGCAAAGAATAGTCAACAAACAAACGAAGGTCAAGAAAGAATTGTTAGTGATATGGGAGAAGAAACGGAAGAGATAGAGACAGAGGATGAAGGTTCATCTGATGAAACAAACAATGAGAATGAAGGGAATGAAGCTGAAAATTCAGAAGAACCGGGGTCTAGTGATGAAGAAGGGGACTGAAAAGAAATCCATCCCGATTTTACCGAGGAATTACAAAAAGAGTGGGAAGATAGAGGGTTTAATTACGAAAGTTGTAAAGGTTGAATTGAAATTGATGGTTGCCAACCCCAAGAAGCAGAATTAGTTGACTATTTATATGAATGCCGAGAAAATGAACTTGATAATGATATTGAAACTGCTAGAATTGAATATCCCAAATGAAAAGACTTGGATTTTGACTTGGAAACTATAATATCCTGAAAAAAACAAAATTTTACTCCTGAACAAGCCAAAGAGTGTTTAGAGTTTGGTTTAACTATCTCAGATTACTTTTATTATTGTTGGTTAAAAAAAGGTAAACAACTAATTCCTAAACAAGTAAGGGGTAATGAACAACAATTGAGAGAAGAATATAATAACACTTTTATAAGTGCCCAAGAATGGTTAGAAAACAATTATCCTGATAAGAAAACACAAAAAATATACCTAAACCAACAACTAGAAGGAGTTTTGGATTGTTCGGGGTATAAAGGCTTATACCAAATATTCATTTCTAACCAAGTAGATAGTAGTAGATTAGAGATAAAAGGAGGTTCTTGCTATGAAGAAGAAACCAAAATTATCCCTTGTATTCCTGCCCAAACTTGGTTAGACAAAAATTGTCCTAAAAACGGGACTTGTATAATAGAAAAAGATGAATATGGTGAAAAATATGATAACTTTGGCAAAACTAGGGGAGAAATAGAAAAGTTAGATATAGGAGGACAAGGTCTAGAAGGAGAATTAGACTTATCTGATTTTACTAATTTAGAGAAATTAAATTGCTCCCACAACCACCTCACCCAAATAATTTATCCTGCTAATCCTGAAAAAATAACTTGATTAGATATATACAATAACAACTTCCCACCCCAAGATTTATCTATTTTTAGTCAGATGAGGAATTTAGAAGAGTTATGAATTAACAATAACACCTTCACGGGTTCCTTAGAACTTTTAAAGGATTTGAAATTAAAAAGATTAAACATTTCTGACACCGATATAGACAGTGGTTGAGAGTATTTACCAAATAGTTTAAAATACTTCGAGTATAAAACAGAACTAAGACCTAACCGTAAATTAGCAGAAGTAGAAGAACAATGAGACCAAGAAATTTGAAAAGATATTCATGAAGGCTTTCTTCCTAAATATAAAAAAAAATGATTAGACCAAGGATTTAGTAAAGAAGAAACTAAAAAAGTCTTTGAAGAATGAAATAAAGATACTGAATTAGTTAGACCCCAAGATAGAGAATTCCTTACCTGATATCTCAACTTCAAAAAACTAGACCTAACCTGAGCCAAAGAAAACGAGGAGGAGTTTAGGGATTTAAGTGATAAATATGAATATTTTGGAACTTGCCCTGAATGTCAGCAACCTAATGCTAGTGGAGGTATATTAGGTGAAAAATGATGTCAATCCTGTAATGCTAAACGATTTCAAGCAGACTTTAAAAACTGAACTAGTGGCAACCCCAACATGGACCAATTCATCCAAAAATGCCAATCAGAAGCAACTAGTCCTTGAAACTTGTTAGAATGAATTCCTTATGAAAGGTTTACTGATATAGAACACATTGCTAATGGTGGTTTTGGTAAAGTAGAGAAAGCACGATTAAGGGGAGGAACAATTGTAGGGTGAGATAATGAAGAAAAGGACTGAGTAAGAAATGAAGATTATGATAACGAAAAAGAAAAATACAAAAACTATAAAACAGTAGCCCTAAAAACCCTCTCCAATTCTCAAAACCTAGATACTGATTTCCTACCAGAATTAATGCTTTACAAAATGTTTAGAAGTGAGGTAAGTAATATGGTGCCTTGTTATGGTATTAGTAGGGATAAGGAGGGTAATTATATCATGGTGATGGAGTTTATGAATGAGGGAAATTTAAGAGAGTATTTAAAGAAGAATTATCAGAAATTAGATTTTAAAGATGATTATAAATGTCCCAAACTCTACTTCCTCCAACAAATCACCCAAGGACTAAAAGATATTCATCGTAAGAAATTAGTCCATCGTGATTTCCATAGTGGGAATATTATTATTGATGAGGAAAATAAAGGTAGTGAATATGAGACGATTACCTGTCGTATCACTGACCTAGGTCTCTGTAAACCAGCAGATAAAAACAATGATGATGAAATCTTTGGAATAATGCCTTATGTAGCCCCCGAAGTATTACAAGGTCAACCTTATACCCAAAAATCAGATGTCTACTCCTTTGGAATAGTGGCTTATGAAGTTCTTACCTGCTTATCTCCTTTTTCTAACATGGCACACGATACCAAATTAGCCTTAAAAATCTGTCGGGGAGAAAGACCCCAATTCCCAGAACAACTTAAATACCCCCAAGTGTTAGTAGGTTTAATTAAAAGGTGTTGAGATGGTGAGCCAAATAATAGACCAGACATGATAGAAGTAAGTAAAATTATGGGTGAGTGATTTTATGAATATGGTATTTTAAAAGTAGGCACCATCCTTTACCAACAATACCAAGAAGCCAAAAACTACAACCAAACCTTACCCAATGAAATCAAATACCCCTCTTACCAATCTAATGAAGTCTGACACAGTAAACATATAGATACCAAACAAATCACTAAAAAGTTAGAAGAACTAAATATTCAAGAAGAACAACTCCAATCTCACCAAGAAATCCCCCCAAAATAACAACATACCCCAACAATACCAACCCCTAACTACCCACCAAGATGCTTTTCCTAATCGGACAAGAATTTAATGAAATAGGAACCCAAACTGATGATAATGATACTTCCAAGAAGTAGCCAGCTCGCAAGAGTTGGTTTTTTAGGAATTTAAGGAGATTTTGGAAATATTTATCTCTTAACTTTCTTATAATCGTGCTTACTTAAATAAATTTAATCTACGATAAAATATTTCTATATATTTTTCTCAGACTTGGTTATTCTCTCAAACAAAAAATATGCGTCATGATTCGCTCCCGGTTCTAATACTATAATGGTCTTTGATGCTTTGAATTAGTTCCAAACGAAAACCGGAAAACATGTTAAGATCTCTTTTGTCTTGGGATTCCGCAGTTATGCGTAATCTCCGTCTCACTTCGCTAATATTCTTAATTCCGGAAAATTCTCTAATTCATTCTCCTTCAAGAAATTCCTCTACTTCTTTGCGTTTGAACTTTCTCCTTTGTTCTTTATTAGACATGTTTTAACTGCTCACTTTCCCGCTTTGTTTGATAAGGTTTGATTTTTTTTTTGAGCGAGTTTAATTTTTCTTTGGCGATCTCTCGGTCATAACTTCTTTGGATATTTAGTCAAAACTCCACGGTGCTATCAAAATAAAGAGCCAACCGAGTAGCCAAGTCAGGCGTAAGGTCTCCTCTTTCTTCACATACTCACTGAATTTGTTCTTTGGGGACTTTTAAGGCTTGGGCTAATTCTTGGGGGCTGATATTGCGAGGTATTAACAATTCTTCACGCAAAATTTCCCCAGAATGAATAGTCGGAAGTTTTTTTTGTTATTAGTTGTGTCATAATTAAGTTATTTTACCACTTTTTGCTTATCTTTTTCCAAAAAAAGCCCTTTTTTTAAATTATTAAACAATCCTTTAATCCTGCTTAATTAGTTGATAAATTTCCCCTGTAAATTTTTCATGCTCTTTCGCTAATTCAGCAATATATTTATCAGTTCCTAAATCACTTTCACAACTACTCTCTCCATGTTTAACAAATTGAATATAATGGGCTAATTAGTGCGAACAAGTTTTTAATAAGTTAGCGAAATCTATCTCTAAAAATAATTCAGGACTAGCAAAATAGCAGTCATAACCTAATTTATTCAGCAAATAAAATTGGTTCAGACTAATAACTGTTTGCTTATTTTTCGGAGTAAAACAACAATTACCTAATTTTCGATAGTGGGCTTTTAGTGGTCTTTGGTCTTGCTGCTCTCCCTGGTAAAAGCCACCAAAATTAAGCGGATAATGAGAAATATCTATCTTTTTACTTTTGGCAAACTTTACCGCATAATTTCTTAATAAATCAGTGAAAAAAGAGTGAATGACCTGACTATTAGCCAAGTTATCAGTCAATTCACCATAATTTTTTTGGTCTTGGTAATTCTGCTGACCCTCTCTTTCTTTTTGCTCTAATTGGGCTTGTAAGCGGGCTAATTTTTGGTTTCTGCTTCATCACTGGTAAATTAATAGGCTACCGCAAATTAGCCCCAATAGTAGAAAAATAGTTGCTATTCAATCCCAAACTCTTGTTTTTTTTTTGCTAATTTCACTAAAAATTTGCCTAATGTTAACTAATTAAAAGTAATTTGGCCTGAACTATCAATTCCGCATAATTATCTGGACTTAAACTTTCCAAATAATTTTCCACTTGGGAAAGAACAATTTTCTCCCCTTTCATTTGCTCTAAATAGTGGCGAAATTCCTCCTTTTGTGGCTTGTCTAGTTTATTATAAAAAGTAATTAGTTCATAATAACAATACTCACAAGGAGGGGAGGAATGAGAGCAAAATAATTGTAGTTTAATCAATTTCATATTTTCGGTATTCTAATCAATGTTCTTTATATTTCTGACAAATATATTTTTCTTGCGGGTCTTGGCGGGCTTTTAAGCAGTCTCAACAACCATTTTTATAAATTGTTTGGGTCATATTTTTACCTAAAATAATGTTTGGAATATTTTAGCGTCCTAGTCATTTTTTAACTGCTGTTCAACCAGCCCACAAAGTAATTCCCGCCACTATTACTCCAAGAGCTCCCGCAGCCGCATATTTTATTTTGATATTTTTGGTTTTTTCCTCCAAGGCCTTATATTGAACTTCTAAATTGGCTATTTCAGTTTCTAATTCAGTAATGGCGTTTTTAAGGTTATCATAACTAGTCTGGATTTTTGGCTTTTCCTGCGCTTCGCGTTTAATAACCTCTTCGCTCATTTCTAAATATTTTTTGATTTCCTCTAAATTGCTGTCAATATTTTCCCCAGTTTTTTTTAAACTGTCTGGGTTGCTGCTTACTTTCTTTTTTAATTCCTCTACTCTCTCTTTTAATTTGTCTAATTCTTCACTTCAATTAGAAGTCATAAAGGAGTACTAATATTTAGAGAGAGAGAGAGAGAGAGAGATTTTTGGTCTTTTCATATATTCCATCACCATGATATAATTACCTTCTTTATCCCGAGATATACCATAACAAGGAACCATCTGACTAACTGAACTTCTAAACATTTTATAAAGGGTTAGTTCTTGGAGGAA